TATATATATATTCAGCTAACTTTAAAGATAGCTCCTTTTTCAAAATTTTTACAAAAGCTTGTGGATGACTCTTCTAACTGAAAAATCTTGAATTCATGGTTGAAAGCCAGCCTCACCATCCTTTTTTGTGTCAGATATTGATCCATAAGCAACCAAGTGTAGATACTTGAGTTCCTTTTTTAAGGCAAAATGGACTTCAATCCTTGTGAGAAGCAGAAGTGTGGGTTGTCTGCTTCACCTTTTGAGTTATTCAGTAGGGAAGTCATCATGCTTGAGCAAAATTGTTGTTGAGCAATAGAGAAAAATGTCTTCTACATCATGGTATATGCTGTGTTTTGCTACTCTGTCTTCCAAAAATGTTTTAGAAAATACCAAACTGCTAGGTTGTATTTTTTTAAGTTCTTGTTTGTTTTGTACAGCTGTACATGTGGTTGTGTTGATGACCTTTACAAATATGAGCATCAGATAGGAAGGATTTTACATGGGGAAATTTAGAGAAAAAGGGGGGGAGGGGTGGAAAGAAAAATGGGGCTACAGTAAATTAGCATGACTCCAATTCAACTTTTGTTTATTTTGTAATAAGTCACATGATTACAAGCAGCATTTAGGATTGTAACTGGATTGGGTAAAAAAACATAAAAAGGGTAGATTTGGAGAAGGGAGGCAAGAATGGTACATTACATTTGAAAAATAAAAAGTACAAAAATATAATAAAAAGAAAATACAACAAAAYTTAAAGCCATAATTTTATCTCCTTAAAAGGAGAAAAAAATAAGTGTTAATAAACAACAGTAAAAGTCCAGATCAGAATTAAAAGGCAGATTTATCATCTCCTTCTTTAGTATCTGTATGGGACCATACCAAAGTCATAGGGTCCCATTGACGTTTCATACTGATACTCACAGAGAAAGGTTGGTTTGTACGGTAGAGTCCCCCTATCATACTCTTTCCTCTCTAGCGTGCTGGAGCTGTACTGCTGCTGTTGCTGATGGAGGTGATTTTGAAGGCTGTGGTGTGACTGTGATCTTTGGCCGTCCTTGCCAAAAGTGGAGAATGACCTATCGTTGGACGAGGCGGTAGAGGAGGTCATGGTGAGTTGGTCGGAGAGGTTGACGGAGGAGGGTACCTCAGTGTCGGGCAGTGTGGCATCCATGCCGGGGACGTGCAGATTGCTGCGGTAGTCCGGCCCCTGGCGCCCATCTGATGGCACAAAGGACGGCATCCAGCAGCGGTCGGAGTGACCCAGGGCCTTGCATTCCTCTGTGCAGTTGGAGAACAGGTCAGCACCTGCAGAGTAAAATCAAACGGCAAATGGAAAGTTGAGGTAAGATTGGAGGAAATGTAAAGCATGATATATGAGCAGATGATGAATGACAAGTAAAATAAACAATTAGATATATCATAATATAAGGATGGACATTTGGAGTGAAAAAAAAAAACAGTCAGCGGAAGAGATAATAAAAAAGAGACCACAAGAGGGAACACACGTTAGCAATCATTTACCCATGTCACATGCAGGAAAAGACAACAAAAATATTCATCAAAATGGCAAACTCAAAATTGATCGGGATAATTGTTTATCTCCTCACCCCATTCATTTAGAAAGAAACAAGTAAAGAGATGGGGGATTGAGAAAGCTCTCCAACACCCCTCCTCTTCCACACCCCCCACTCCCATCCCCTTTCATCTGACATCAACATCTAAAGTCACATTTGATTTGGAATAGCTAAAGGACAAAAATAAAGTTCATATATGTATGTATACTTATACACATCTTGAAAAAGTAGTCCATACAATGTTTACAGTATAACAAAAACTGACCGCTAAAAGCATGTCAGCTGTTTTATTGATAATTGATATAAAAAATATAGCTTGATAATGACATTTTATTTATTTATTATTTATTTTTTAAGTCTTCCTGATGTGGATTTTAAAGGATCTGGACTTAAAGCAGAAGAGAGAAGTGCTCGTGAAAGTGACACAGCTCATAAAGAAAGTTGGTGTGCATTGCCTTATCTTTCAGTGTAGTTTTGTTTGTTGTGTCAGATTGGATGCTACTGCTCTACTGGTCTGTGGATTTCAGACATGTTCCTTCTGTCTGATGCCAATTTAACAAACATCAAACTAAAACAGCGAGGAGTTGCCCTACCACCACGCTTCCAGAGCAATACGCTTATCCAACAGCTATTAGCGATGCAGGCACTGCTTTAAAACTTTATTTTTTTGTATTATTCGCCCTAGATTCTGCCTGTCAGACTATACATGCTTTGTGGTGTTTGTTGGATTTTTTTTAGGAAAAGTACTAACATTTGCACAAAAAAATCTGAAAAAGTAAAATAATAATAATTATTATAAACTAAACTGGTGCTTGAACTGATAGGTACTACCAGAATACACATTTTATTTTATTTTTTTTTTTTTTATTTTTTTTTTCCCAGGCAAATTCCATTGAGATCACAGATCTGCTTTGCAAGTGAGGTCTGGGCCTGAAGGCAACCTATTGTACATGTTTTTGGCCACATAAAGCTTAACTTCACTCACTGTAACAACAGTCCTCCAGTGAACCTTTAAATTCAACTCACTTTTATGTTCCATCAAATTGTTAAAGAACTGCAACTGTGACAGATTCTGTTCCTCTTTATTTGTGTGCATTGTGTGGATCTAATGTTGCCGCTAATTGAGGCCCCATGGGGAGCAAAGAAAGCAACAAGACTTCGCAGTGGACAGAGAGCCAGTGGAGACACAAGGCTCGCAGACAGCCAGGGCCAAACAGGCTGAGGGAGTTGCAGATTTCACAGACCAGGACAGCAGGCGGGAGAAACGGCAAGACTGTGGGAACCATAAGGAAAGTGAGGGGAGACCTGGGCAATCACAGACAGAAAAAGCAATGTCCGGATAAAAACAGGGGGAGCCCCAACCCTCACAGATGGAGACTGGAAAGAGGTTAGACAAAGGTGGGCAGAGCAAGGAACAGCTTTGATTTAGATGAAAGAAAGTTATAAATATCTGATTAAACATTTGCTTTTGGTTTCCTTAACCATATCATGCAGAGATTCTTTTAACGTGCCTCCAGCTGTCACTATTCTAAACTCACTCTTTTCATGTGGAGCTGCTGCCTATCATAGTTTAATAATGAATACAAAATACAAGTAGAAAATGTAAGCTTTAAACTTTGATAGAATGCAAATTAATAGCCCTTTTAGCTCATTTTTTACCACCATCAGCCAACTTCTGACCTGCCATTAAACTATTCTACATTATTTACTTGAGCAAAGTTTCATAAAGAGAGACTGACAGCTGCWTTTTTTACATTCAAATAAAGACAAGATTCAATTCAGCAATTTTTAAAAGACATTAAATGCCTATTGAGTTTGTTTACCCCTTTCTCCTCTGAGAGCCCCACAGAATGAGCACAGTTCAGAGCTTTCTGCTGCCAAAGGATRTGTTTGCCTTTTATCACAATGCAACACTGGAGAAATGTGGCTCAATGCAAATAAAAACAGGTGATGAGRTGGAGAATAAACAAAGCAAAACCCGAAGAAACAAAGACGATCAGTGCAGGAAAACTGTTCAGAGAAGCTTTTGTAAGCGTCGATCCAGTTTTTGAATGGCATTTACTTGAGCGTACCCTCAGATTCACCTTCAGGGATGATATATATTTATAGCATCTTTAAAGGTTGGGTGCATATAAATCATGCACCCAATTCATGTCTCTGGTAATACCCATCTTGCATTTAGCCTTTAGCCTTTTTATGAACTTTTCACAAATTAATGTCCCCCTTTGACACAAAGGACGCTGACCTCAGGTCCTCCAGTCGTCTCTGTGCTGTAACAGGGCTAAAGACTTTGGGAAACTCAGTGCATTTTTCACTTAATGTAGAAACAAATCAGTAGAATAACTAATGCACAACTCTGCAGAAGGAAGACACACCTGTGGATAAAAGGTTAATGCTGAAGGATTAGGAGAAAGCTCTGTTTTATATTTTTCATATCACAGTGTATTATTAATCAGGCACAGGGGCAGATTGTACTTTCAAGAGGATGTGTAAATATAGTCTGCAGCCATCACTGTTTCATCMGCTTAGAGAAAGTTGTGTCTGAGCTCCCAATTTACTCAGTAAAACTTCAAAAAAAGCAGCCTTAACACATATATTTCCCAACTAATACACTCATCGGCATAAAAAATACTCCCTAAATGTGAAGATATGTAAATATACACAAGTAAACAGGCAGACAGGGAATGCTCACATGACACCAAGTGGCTTCTGATCCCCGTGATGCACCTTTTCTTCCGCAAGCAAGAAGCAAAACAACAACCGAAACAGTGACTGGCAATGACAGGCCCTGCCAGCAGCCTTCGCATCGTGACCTCAACAGGCAGGAAGAACACATTTCTGCTCGTTTTCCACACAAACAGGCATACACACACACAAACTCAGAAGAGGAAATGCAAATGATGTTGCACAATCTAAACACAATCTTCGTTCTAATAAGCAATCAGCACCCCTGTTCTTTTTTATTTATTTTTCGCCTTTTTTTTTCCATTACATTTCTGCATGTTTCTAAAATCTCACTTTGGTGTGATTTGACTAATTGTGCTGTCTGACAAACATCCAATGTCTGGGAGAGAAAAACAAATTCTGGAAAAACCTCCGTCCCATCTTTGTATTTACTTATTGGCTATTTGCTGTGCACAGGTTGGCAGTCGCTTCTTACTTGAACTCATTTGTTTGTCTGTCTCTGTCTTTTTTTACTCTCTTTGTGTTTTTTTTTTTCTTTGTCTCGTATTATTCTCCTTCACATTTAACTCTCCTCTCTGATTATTTCTTTTATTGCATTTTTTTCAGCCCTCCAAAAGCACTTTTCATTCCCCGGTGGAGGGTGTCTTCCATCCATTCCTCTGTTTTTCATCTTGTTCTCCACAATTCCAGAGAGAACACAGACACAAAACGTCAATATTTAGACAGCACTGCGGGATGACAGGGGAGTAGCAGAGCTCCCTTACACAGGTTGACCAGTGAGCCTGAGATGAGTAAACCAGAGACCTCACAGGAGTTAAAAAAAGAGCAAGATGTTTTCCAATATGTTCACTAATGACAGTCAGATAAATTGTACTGGGCTTTAAATTTCAATTTCTGCAGAACAGCAAGTGAGCTGAAAAGAAGAGTCAAGAGACCAACCTCTCTGCTAATGTCTGCTTGAYTTATATGCCCTCTTACATACTGTTAGAACAAATGCTTATGGTGACCACTGATTATTGATAACTGGTTTCTATGCTTTTTATCTTTCTTTGGAAATGCAGMAAGCTATAGTGCATTGATGTAAAAATGGATACACTGAAGCCGGCTATGCACTAGGCCAGTATAATTTAAACTTATTACATTAGGACTGAATTTCCATAGATCAAATACTTTGTTTTTTTTTTAACTTAGCTTAAACAGATTCTCATAAAAGAACAATTAGAAACAAAGCAAAGTTGCAAAATTTAAAAAAAAGAACATAAAGTGGGAAACATGGCGGTCTAATTACTTTCTGTAAGTTTGAMGGTTGGAAATATATTTAAACCCTATCATATACCCAAAATAAGAGGAATGGTAGATTTGTTTAACTGTACTTTTTAGATATTTATTTTGTTAATTTCAATGATATACTTAAATATTTTACAGATAAGCTGGTATATTGCATTTGGATGAAATAAATATTCAATATTTGCTTTGCTAATTTTAAGAAGGACCTGCAGTCCTAAGTTAGCTGGTTTAGATCATCATTTTATTTGCTTTAAATGTGTGTGTCATTTGTTAACAACCCTCATTCTTACCCCCCAACCCCTATTAGCTAAACTCAATCTACCAAGTAAAACTACTGAACATTGGGTGGCTTGATTTTTGTTTATCTCATATTTTGGATAAATCTATCAATTTCCATCAGTTTATTTATTTATTTATTTATTTATTTATTTATTTATTTATTTGTTTGTTTGTTTGTTTTTCTAATTTGTCAAAAAGAATATGTTACAAAATTGTTACGTGAGTGCAGTCTTGACTCAGAATCACTGATTAAAAACATGTTCTGTGTACATATTGCTGTTTTATTTTATCACTAAAATTAAAAGTTCTTTTAACTTCTTCCACCTACCTTCGTGTCTCATTTTGTAGCTTTGAACTTTACACAGTCTTATTCGTTCCACAAATTACGTATGTATTAATSAAGATGCTTTCGACATGAATCCAGGTTATTGTTCCAGTTCCGAAGCTCTAAGTTTTGTTCGAGTTTCAGGCCTGAGAAACAGGTGCATCAGTGCCCTGTTTGCTAAAATTCCTCTGACAGCTCAGTGACACGGGGAACTGCAGCACAGTGCACGCAACTAATTCATAATCAGCCATCTAATACACCGTTACCACAGTGATTTAATTGTCCCATTTGTCACGGCTGTTGTTCTCACCAAAACAAACGTCATGATAATGATCGTTTCCAGTCTCCCACCCGTCATGCAGCCTTCCACAGCTGATTGAACGTATCAAATGTGCTTTTTCCCCCTCCCTGATGAATACTTTATCCAGTTTTATCTGAAGCCTATTTTTTGTATTTGTTAATTCATTTGTTCATTTTTTACCCTTACCATTTCTTTTTGTAAAATGGTGARAGAAAATCGTGTTTTATTTAGAAAAAAAACAGAATAAATAAAGAGTGGGAAGAAGAAAAAAGTGTTGCACTCAATCAATAGTGTTTTGGCCTTTGAAGAATCGGTGCCTCACTCTGAACACCAACTTTCAGAAAAGCTATTTGCTCGAATTTTCAAGGTATCCCAACTTCCAGGCAGTGTCCTTTTGATTTAAAACAACATCAGGAGACTTATTTTCTAAAGTGTCAGACAAGCGGTCGAGCGGGAAGCTACGGCAGGTGTAGTTGATGATATGCCAACTGGAAATGGTTTCCCCCCTTGATTTGAAATATGCCGAGGTGCACCAAAAGGGAGAATGTGCCGCGTGTTCCCATGTGAAAACCTCGCCTCTAACCCTCCTTTGATAATTGCTATGCAAAGGATCTAGAAATGAATTACTGATCAGCCGAGTGTTACGGAGAGCCAACGTGTGAGGGAGACAGAATGAAGGATGAGACCCTGACAGGCACTAAGAAAGAGAATATGAGTGTGTCAGACAAACACATGCACATATGCATAGAGGATGCACGCATGCATATATTCATGTCAAATATACATGAGCACAGGACTGTGCACTTGCTTGCCTAAACAGACACTGCAAAAAAACCTGAAAACACACAGTCTATACATAGGCTTGCCTCATGCTTTTGCAGCTTGTCTGTCTGCTGAATATGCACTGAACATCTAGCTTTAACTGCATACATTATTGCACAAAAGCACTGACTATAACTCATGTGAGAAAACCAACTTTATGATCCCTATATATTCATAAATTACACAGAGACAAATGAGCAATGAGGATGCTYCTATAGAGAAAATATTACGTATACCTGGCAACGTTCCAAGCACTTGCTACCGCTCTCTCATCTTACACTCATCTCATTTAAGCTTCCCTGAGCACCGTCTCAACAGAGGATGACTTTACAATACAGACATTGCCACTTAGCCTCGCTTTCTTCAAGCAAAACAAACACAGACAAGCRGGTTACATATAGATGTCACATATACGCCTTCATTATAAATTGGGCTACAGCGTACCTGTACACCCACACAGACACAAGCACACTCGCTGTGTCTGGTTTTGTTTACAGAAGTCTGTGAAACTCAAGTGTCCTTCTTTCCAAAATACCAGTCGTGTGATATTACCTCCCATGGAGTGGTAAGCTGTTCCCTTCTAAATCCAACATGAGGAACAAATGTTGGTTTCCCCTCCTATGAAATACACAGTGCAGCACCAACTGTGTACACTCCCAGGCCTGTGCCAAATGAGCAAATGCGAAGCCAAAAAAAAAAAAGGCTGAAGAAACATGTTATTGGTTCAGAAATATAAACCTGTCTGATAGAAAAAAAAACAGCAAATTGGAATTCAAGACAATTTTCCACCTAAAATAAGTGTTGAAATACAGTCTTGGGCATGTCTTTGAACATCATGTCAGGACTGATTTATTTCTAAAGTCTGAGACTTCCCGCATGCAGAAAAATTTAAGATGCACTTTTTAGTTCTTCTTTTTTTGTTCTGTAATGACTTAGATTTCCTGTTGTCTTACAAAAAAAACTGTGTGTTTTTCCACATATTCATAAATCACATTCTGATAGGAATCTTCCAATGTGAGTTGGAATGTGAATTTATATTTATTTTACTGAATTTCGTGATAAAGAAAATAAGAGAGCCCTGGATTTCTTCCAACTCTGCAAACCAGACTCAGAGTTTGACCTTCTCAGCCTATTTTATGAGCGAGGGCAGGGAGTGACACAACTGCTGCATTCTGGCTCTCTTTATGCCTCGGTTCATTAATAATGTCAACCACTGTGGAGCCTAATGAGAGCTCATTCACTATCCTACATCAGCTATCTGATCTTCTTTATTTGTATTTCCAGCACCAATACGATATTTGGCAAGCTTCAGTCTAGACAAGGGTCTAACATGTACCACATGGAACAATCCCTCCRAAGTAAAGGGCAGTTCAATATGAAATTAGATTTTGTATTGCTCCACTTTTCGTCTGACTCCACAATGATCAATAAACAGGTACTAACTAAATAGAATTTTAGAGGGAACAAGAAGAGTCTTATGATAAGATCTACTGACCCCTTTGCAAAGAAATCTACGTGCTGCAAAGAGCAAAAAATAAATAAAGGGTCAGTAAATAAACCTGAAGTGAGAGAACGGATGGGAAAATGTTAGCTAATTCTCACATTTTATCCTTGCTTTAGCCCATGTCAAGTCTGCACATATTTACTGATAAAAACAGAGAATGTAAAAGCAATTTACCGTGTTTGAGAAGTTGAATCTATAAACTACAAAGGCAGCACAATACACTGATTCTCAGGCTGATTGAAATGCTTCTCATTATATCAATTTAGCTTTCATGCCTTTCCTTTTCATTTGAGTGAACCTATTGATTTGTGCCATTAAAGCTCTGTGGGCTTCACACTGCTTCACTGAGAGTCGCTGTCCTTTCAGCACCACTTGGTTCTGAAGCAGCAGAAGGGGCAGGGAAAGAGACGGGCAAAAAGGAAAAAATTTCCACAACATGTCCCCCCCCCCCCATCTCTCTCTCTCTCTCTCTCTCTCTCTCTCTCTCTCTCTCTCTCTCTCTCTC